AAAAAAAAGCCACCCATAAGTGTCTCCTGCCATTTTTAAGGAGAGATGTAAAGTTTTCACTGTCCTCAGAATGGAGCATCCACAAGCGCTTTCTCATGGTGATGCTGATCCTTTGTTTAATATGATTTGGATGCATTACTATGAGTCTCTGCCTCCTAGCTTTCTTCTAAGAATGAGGAGATAAAGAAAATAAGACGAAGACAGGGAAAGAAACATACCCTGCCACACTTGGTCTTGCAGAGCTACATAAGAATTTTTTTGACTGAAATTAATCACTAATGGGCCTCTTCAGTGTGCCCATCTCCAAGGGCTGGAGAAGCCAGAGCCTACATACTCTTCAGTTTGCTGTCTAAATAGGCCGTCAGAGCTAAGGCTATGCCACTCTGAAAGTGTGGAACAGTTTCCACACTTTCAGACACATATCCAGACACATATCCTCATTCCTTTGAGTTTCAGGATTCAAATCCCAGTTATAATGAAAGAGGAGAAAATTCATGTGGATTTGGAGGCCACAATCTATGCTATTCTAAAATCTTAGGAAAGTGCCTGTCAAGCTCTGGTCTGAAAGAAATAGATATTTGACTTCTTCAGAGCGAGTGAAGGAAGGTGTGATATAGACTGCAGGTAGCCACTGTCCACCCAACGAATTATTTTCTTTCCACCTCTGGGTCTTTGATCATAGGTGGTCTTTTTGCTTGGAAACGTCTCATGTCTTTCCCATAAAACACCCAGCAGCAGTTTTTGGCTTGATTTAAAGATCGTTTCCTATAAGAAGTCTTCCCTAATTTAATTCTCTCATAAACAATATTATAATAGTAACACATATGGAGAGCTTACTATATGCCATGTATGTCATGTATTTTTTGCTCATTTGATTCTCAAAACCATGTCATTAATGTTATTGTTATCTTTATCATTAATGCTACCTTTCAGATGAAGCTCAAGTAGGTAATTTTGCTAAGGTCACGCATCGAGAAAATGGTGGAGCCCTTTGTTGTCTGTTATAACACTTGACAATCTGCCTTCTGTAATGGCTACTAGAGTAGGTGGCCATGTATCACACAAACTTGGGAATTTCTGCAGGAAATGCTTGACTTTTGATTCTCTGCTTTATAATTAGTAATAAAGACCCTACCTCCTGCTCCCACCCCAATAGAAAACCTTTAATATAGTAAATGTTCAACAAGTGTTGTTTTTCACTGAATGAAACTAACATTGAGCAACAAGAAACAGAGTCCTCAAGGATAAAAAGATGGGCTGGGCATGGTGGCTCCGATTACTGCTGTAATCCCAGCAGTTTGGGAGGAGGCTGAGGCGGGTGGATTGCCTGAGCTCAGGAATTCAAGACCAGCCTGGGCAACACGGTGAAACCCCATCTCTGCTAAAACACAAAAACTAGCTGGGTGTGGCAGCATGTGTCTGTAGTCCCAGTTACTTGGGAGGCTGAGGCAGGAGAATTAGTTGAACCTGGGAGGCAAGGTTGCAGTGAGCCAAGATCACACCACTGCACTCCAGCCTGGGCGACAGAACGAGACTCTGTCTCAAAAGAAAATAGATGGATGCATGCCTAATGTGAGTTTAGTCATTGCTTTAGAAGTATGGACTTGGATGGATGACATTTTTCAGTTATTTTACTGAAAAGATTAGGAAGATTGGCTTCCTAATCTTGTGGTAATATTGGAATCAGAGACTAGGCCACACTAGACATCCTATCCTATGGAGACATACTCACAAATAAGAAGAGTCTGGATTGGCATCTGGCTGCAGAAATGTGTATGTGACACCTGCATTCTTGATCCTCATTGTCCTGCCCCTCCCACCAGAAAAGCTAATGCACATAGCCTTGCTCCATTTGACTTTCTAAAAAATAAAATTGAAAATCTGGGCTGAAGTCTGGGTTAGTGCTCTATTGCTTTGTAACAAATTACCACACACCCAGTGGCTTTAAAAGACACCCATGTATTATCCCATAGTTTCTGTGGATCAGTAGTTCGAGCACAGTGGAGCAAGTTCTCCGACGGCTTCTCACCGAGCTGAAATCATGATGTTGACCTGGGCTTTGTCTCATCGGTGAACTCAACACGGAAAGAGTCTACTGCCAAGCTCCCTTGGGTTGTTGACAGAAGTAATTTCCTTGCAGCTGTAGAACTCGTGGCAGCTTGCTTCTTCAAAGTAAGCAATGGAGAGAGAGAGAGAGAGAGAGAGAGAGAGAGACTCTGTTGCTTGGAGCCTGCAACTTCAAAGAAGGCCTAAGCCCTCTTTTGAAGGGGTCACCCAATTTGGTCAAGTCCACTTATCTCCTCAAGGCAACCGATGTAGGACCTTAATTACATCTGCAAAACCCTGTCATTTTTGTCATGCAACGTTAATAATCATGGAAACAGTTCTGTTAGAAGCAAGCCACATGTTCTGCCTACATCCAAAAAAAGATTATATAAGGCTTAACACCAGGCAGAGGAAATCATAAGGGCCATCGCAGAATTTGGTCTACAACTTTCTCCATCTTCCCCAGAAAAGCTTCTGTTGCCTCAAAATAAGAGAATCTGGGCTCAAGCCTTGGTCAGGCTAACATAAACTTGTCTCCCTCAGGGAACTCAATTTCTAAGGTAAGATGTCTTCTAAATTGTCGATTCTATCACTCAGGTACTCATTTTTCCCTTTATTAATCATCAAGACATAAAATTGTTTATTTGGAGTCCTTATTTTATTCTCCTTTTACTTTTCTTTGAAGATGTTCCCATTATTTCCCAATAATGATTTGGGTCACACTCCGGGTTTCCTCTCCCTCCCACCCGTTGCTTCTAACACAATAACAATAATGACAATGACAGCACTGGGGATGTCAATGTCAGACAGTTCTGACAGAAGGCAATCGTCCTCCCCCACCCCCTTTAAAGACTTCCACAATTGCACATCTGTCAGGGGCTGATGGGAAAACAAACCAAATTAAGTTTAATGTCAAGTTGTATCACCTCCTATTTGTGAACTCTCTCTATTTCTTTGTCTCAGAATCTGTTGAACGTGATGGACAGCAGCAAACCCCTGATTAGCATATTTTCCACTGCCATTTCAGGCAAATGAATCTTCCCTCACCAGGATTTGAGATTCCAGTCAGATTCTCAATTCCATCTGGCTAGTCATTCTCATTATTATGCAAATGTCAGCTTTACCTGAAGGCAAGAGCTTTCTTCTTAATATTTAAATTCCATCTCTTTTTCATTGATCTCTAAACAACAGCCCATCTTTGAACTTTCCTTGGAGAACATTTTTTTTAGGGATGAAATTTCCCCCAAGATGGTTTGGTTCCCTTTTTAAAAATAGACTGGGAAGCCTCGGAAAGCGGTGGAGGTAAAGTGCCCTTCCTCTGCTTCCAGAACGGGATTTTTGAGTGACTTTGTCTGAAGTCTGGTAGAGAATGCCCTGCTGCTAGGTAAAGGCACTCAGGGGAGAAACTGACTGGCAGAGATAGGAGAAAGTCAACATGTCAGGCAAGCCCCTGTTTTGAAGAGGGCCCAGGAACCAACAAGAGAAACTAACTGCCAAGGCAAACAGTCTGCATCAGGCTGGCAGCAAATGGACCTCAGCCCTGGGAATCCAAACCAGCAGGTGGGCAGACTTGACTGCTGGCTTGGGAACTAGAGGCAGGACTAGAGATGCTAGTTTCCTCAGTCATTGTCTGGAGTGAAGAGTGCATTACCATAGCATGGTCCCAGTTACCAGAATTGTGGCCTGGCATGGCAATCTAACAGATGCCAGTCATTCTCTCCACAAATCATGTTTTCCCCTGTCCAAGTGTCTTCTCAGAGTGTCTATACCCTCAGCAGGTTTGTTGTCAACCTGAACACCTTTGTTTGTACCCATGTAAACACTGACCAAAGTCAAACCAATCCGATTTTCTAGCAGGAAATGTAAAATTCTGGTTCAAAGACTAGTTGATCTCATTCTCTTTCTCTATCTATCAACCTGTCTATCTTTCCCTTCTCCCCTCTTTCCAATATCTTCCTCGCTGCTTCAAAAGAAAGTTTATATAAAAGCTAACCAACAAGTCAATTTTTCAGCTAATGTCTGTGGGGGCCATAGGCTCTTGGTTCATTAAAGTTTTCCTAAAAAATCACTGACATGAGGCAGATTGATTAATAGGCAAAAAGGCATACAAATTTATTTAACATGTATACACAGTAGCCATCAGAATGAAGACCCAACCCAACAATATATAGAAGCTTGTGTCACATCTTAAGAATATGGAAAGAATGTGGACTCAGACAGAGCATGCCCAAAACAGGTTTTTAGTGGTAAGACAGGTTATAGGAGAGAGAAAATAAGGGGCTTGGCTGGCAAAGGTGGACCTGCTTTGTAGATGAATCCCCCCTCAGAGAGAATAAATGGTAAATGTGTCTCTTTAGACTTGTAAAGGTTTCAGACTCTCAATCTCTCCTAGATCTGGGAAAGGCATAAAAAAGGGCCAGGCTCCATTCATGGAGATTCTCTACAAATGCAAGTTTTTCCCCACAAAAGATAGCTTTGCAAGGCCACTTCTGTTTGCTGACTCTGTGGCAGCCATTTCAACATATGTCCAAGAAATACACTTTGAGGTAAAATATCTTTATTTCTTTTATGCCTCGTTCTCTAAGAAAACGTCTGCAGAGTGAGAGAGGAGCAACCGCACGGAGAACATGAAGGGTGCGGAGAATGACTGACAACCGTCAGCTACCAAATTCCCACGTTATGGTCAGTTCTGGTATTGGAACCCAGAAGCAGGGCCATTCGGAAGTAAGTAGAGAGTACTCACTAGGCTGTTCTAGAGCGTAGTCTTGATGCCCAACACTACTCTTCGTCTTCTTCCCTTCCCTCAAAGAATTGTCTCCAAGGGATCAAAGATTCAGTTCCTCAGAGTTTTAATGGCTGCTTCTAAATGTCATCAGTGATAGATTCTTTTCCTTCCACCCCACCTTTAGCTCCCTGAGACATTTTTGGAGACTGGCCTAAAAATCGAAAGATAAAGTTTTGTTTTCATTTTCTAATTTATCTCCAGTACAAATGTCAGCATTTTAAACTTTTTGTCAGAAGAAAGAAGTGTTTTCAACTGTTTGAAGTTACTTTGGACATTTTTAACTCGTCAAACAAAATAATGTTAAAACATAACTCCCACCTATCTCAGCATGAGAGAATATGAAAACAGGAAGAACAAAAGGGAGAAGACTAGAAACCAGAAGCAGAAAGTTAGGGAGGAAAAAAAGCAACTTCTTACCTACCCTGTGCACTTGCCTGAATTCATATTCTGTTACTGTAACAGAATTCCTGAGACTGAGCAATTTGTAAGAAAAAAAAAAGTTTATTTGGCTCATGATTCTGCTGGCTGGAAGACTGGGCACCCACATCTGGTGAGAGGCTCAGGCTGCTTCCACCTATGGCAGAAGGCAAAGGGGCCCCACATGTACCGAGGTCACGTGGTGAGAAGGAAAGCAAGACAGAGGAGAGAGGTGCCAGGCTCTTTCACACAACCAGCTTTCACAGGAACTGATAGAGAAAAAACTCACTCACCCTTGAGGGAAAGCATGAATCCCTTAATGAGAGACCTGCCATCATCACCCAAACACCTCCCATTAGATCCCACTTCCAACACTGGGAATCATATTTCAACATGAGGGTTGTGGGGGACAAACATCCAAACCATAGCAATATTGTTCTTGGCTCTTGATGTACATTATTGTTTTAATCTTCTAAACATCCCTATAAGGTAGGTACTGAACACCAGAGGGATTATTTTGGACAAGCACAGCCTCTGAAAACAGATGGCTGAGGATTGCATACCAACTCTGATATTTATTTCACAATGTTTTCCCTCAGTTTCCTCATCTGTAAAATGGAGATGATACAGGTGAAACCTACATGAGTTAATACATGTAACACTCTTAGAATGGTGCCTCTCATAGAGTGGATGCCCGGTAAAACTTCAGCTATTACTACTACTACCATTTTACAATTGAAGAAAACTAAGGCACAGAAGAGTTAAGTTTCTTACCAAGGGGCACATGGCTATTAAATGATAGAGTCAGAAGTCTACCCTATAACTACTATGTTCTACAACAGCCATGTAGCTCTTGTTCTATCAGTGCTCTATTATGGGCCTTAAGAACCTGGGAGACTCTCAAACTGCTCAAAAGGAAAGGAATAAAGAATTGAAGTGAATACAATCACTTGGACCTTCCATTATAAGGTCTTGTCTCCTTTTCCTCTAGGAAGTCACCCCAAAATTAAAAATAGGAGACAGAACACTAAATTCCATACACAACAAACTGGAAGACTTTTGAAATTCTGAACCACAATGAAAGAGAAAGAGCTATGAAATCCAGTGAAGAAGTTCACAAGGACATCAGCAGGTGCAGATCTCAGACAAAGCTGTCAGAGCACAGTTGTCCAAACAAGATGGTACACTCTAGGGAGAAAAACACTCTTGCATTTGGAGCAACATTAGGGGCTCAGCAAGCTGTCAGTGAGAGTGTTTCAGGGGAAACGGGCTCAACGAGGAAACACACAGAATTTGCAGGAAGCAAGCTGTTATGGTATAAATGGAAGACAGAGAGTTTCTCAATTGCAAACAAAGCTGCACTGCCAATTTCTTTTGTGTGGGTAGAACTAAAAGCCAAAATAACCTATTCAGTCTCAAGTGCATATAACTCCGCATTATAAGGCCAAACCTGATGAAAAATGTGAATTCATAAGAAACTGGCTTCATTCCAAGATGTCCTAATACAAAAAGAACCAATACAGATTTATATAAAGAGACCACATGAAAATGAAAGACAGACAGAGGAAAATCTGTAAGAAATAAAAATATTGAGCAGAAAAAAATTTAAATATTGTTGACAAAGAGCAGGAAAAACAATCAATAAAATCACAAAGCAAAAAAAAAAAAAAAAAAAAAAAAAAAAAAAAAAAAAAAAAAAAAAAAAAAAAAAACCTCAAGGCAAAAAAAATAAAAGGGAAAAATTTTATGACATTGGATTTGGCAAGACTTTTTTGGATATGACACCAAAAACACAGGCAATAAAAGAAAAAAAACAGACAAATTGAACTACATCAAAATTTAAAACTTCTGTGCATCAAAGGATATCAAGAGTAAAAAGGCATTCCTAAGAATGATAGAGAACATTTTCAAGCCATA